CCATTGGGCCAATTTCAACCAAACTTGGCACAAAGTATCCTTGGGTGAAGGGGATTCAAGTTTGTTCAAATGAAGGGCCACGCCCTTTTCCAAGGGGAGATAATCATGAATTTGTTAAAAATTAATGGCATTTTTAAAAAATCTTCTTCTCCAGAACCACTGGGCCAGGAAAGATGAAACTCAGGTGGAATCATCCTCAGGTAGTGTAGATTCAAGTTTGTTCAAATCATGCCCCCCGGGGCAAGGGTGGGGCCAAAATGGCTGACCCAAGTTTTACATAGGAATATATAGGAAAAATCTTAAAAAATCTTCTTCTCCAGAACCACTGGGCCAGGAAAGATGAAACTCATGTGGAATCATCCTCAGGTAGTGTAGATTCAAGTTTGTTCAAATCATGCCCCCCGGGACAAGGGTGGGGCCAAAATGGCCGACCCAAATTTTACATAGGAATATATAGGAAAAATCTTAAAAAATCTTCTTCTCCAGAACCACTGGGCCAGGAAAGATGAAACTCATGTGGAATCATCCTCAGGTAGTGTAGATTCAAGTTTGTTCAAATCATGCCCCCCGGGGCAAGGGTGGGGCCAAAATGGCCGACCCAAGTTTTACATATGAATATATAGGAAAAATCTTAAAAAATCTTCTTCTCCAGAACCACTGGGCCAGGAAAGATGAAACTCATGTGGAATCATCCTCAGGTAGTGTAGATTCAAGTTTGTTCAAATCATGCCCCCCGGGGCAAGGGTGGGGCCAAAATGGCCGACCCAAGTTTTACATAGGGATGTATAGGGAAACCTTTTAAAATTTTCTTTTCAAGTACTTAAAAGCTATGATTAATGATATTTATATGGAATCATCCTCAGGTAGTGTAGATTCTAGTTTGTTCAAATAATGAACGCCTGGAAAGGCTGGGGGAGTGGGGTGGAGTAAATTCAAGCCTGATGTGCTCAGATGAGCGCTGTGGCCCCTGGGCCTCTTGTTTAAATTTATAATTATGCTTAAGAGCCACTACTCTCTTTTGAATACTTTAATAAGTACATTCATGGTATTTTCTTTTATTTGAACAAAAATGTTGAAAGGCACACATACTCTGGTACTTTATTTTATTCTTTCTTGTCAAAAAATAAATAATAATAAATAAACACTATTTCTAGACATTTCTGTAGCAGACCAAAATTGTTTTAGATGAATATATGTACATTAATCTGTGATACCACAACATATCATGTCTAATCAAAGCTGGTGGGGGTAAATACAAGGCATTATAACATTATACATTTTTACAGCTGGTCTATTAGATATTGATATTAAAAACAATGTTTGTATGCATAAAAAAAATAGTTTGTGAAGTATTTAATTAGTATTTATTGTCTAGATTTTGATATTTTTATACACAACCAATAAATTGAATTGATTTTTTAAAAATGATGTTTTTTTTTTTTTTTTTGCACACTTTAACATTGGAGATGAGCTTATGCCAATCTCCAGGCCAGGTACTGGCATCATATGATAAAGTTCTTAGAGCTAGTCCATCTCCTATATAATGATAAACCACCCAAACCAATCTTTGAGAGATCATGACATTACTTTGGAATGCATACTTGTAGTCAAGCTTCAGGAGCTGATGCTTACCTTTATTTTCCAGTTGAGTGCCAGGTAACATATTCTGGAGCAGGCTCATTGCTAAGTCTGGATCAAATCATGGATGATCCATGTAGGGACCTTTCCTTTTAAGTACACTTAACTGTTTTGTCTTACCTGATGGATAGGTTCAAAATTTGGAGCAGATCTATTGAAAAGACACAAAGGCCTTCCTGAACCAGAGTCACATGGATAATGCTCCCAGGGATGTTTACTACCAATTAAACCTTGAACAATGGATCTGTCCTATAAAATTAATTTTCGCAGGGAAGAGGGGGAGGGGCAAGACCCCCATCCCACTTTTTCTGTGTATGGTACTTTGTCATAATAAATTTTCTTAATATGCCCCCTTTTTCGCTCACCTGAGTCGAAGGCTCAAGTGAGCTTTTCTGATTAAAATTTGTCTGTTGTCTGTCGTTGTCGGCGGTGTTATAAACTTTTCACATTACTGGGCCAATTTCAACCAAACTTGGCACAGAGTATCCTTGAGTGAAGGGGATTCAGGTTTGTTCAAATGAAGGGAGATAATGGCGAAATTTGTGAAAAAATTGTGGCATCTTTTAAAAATCTTCTCAAGAATCGCTCTGCTAGAAAATATGAAACTTATGTGGAAGCATCCTCAGGTAGTGTGGATTTAAGTTTGATCACATCTTGACCCGGGTGATTTGATGGAACAACAGTGGGCAATCAAAGTTTTACTTGGGAATACATAGGGAAAATCTTCTCAAGAACAGCAAAGCCATGATTGTTCACATTTATATGGAAGCATCCTCAGGTTTTGTAGATTCTGATTTGTTCGAATCATGACCCCGGAATTAGGGTCGGGCCACAATGGGCATTCAGAGTTTTACAAAGTAATACATTTGAAGCATCTCTCAAGAACAACTAAGCCTTGGTTGGTCATATTTATATGTCTGTCCATCTGTCACAAAAATTTTGACCTTGGTCCTATATTTTGAATGAGAAGAGATAGGGCTTTCATATTAAACATGTATCACCTGTGACAAGATCTTTCTAAATACACTATGATTTTTGACCCCATAACCTTGACCTTGAAGTTTGACCTACTTTTCAAAAACTTTAACCTTGGTTATGACTTATGAATGAGTAGAGAAAAGGCTTTCAAATTAAAGTTGTTTTATGCCTTTGACAAGACCTTTCTAAATAATATATGATTTTTGACCCTGTGACCTTCACCTTGAAGATAAAAATTAAACATTACTTTAAATTGGCCATAACTTTTGAATGAGGAGAGATAGGGCTTTCATATTGAGATGTGTATTATCTGTGAAAGACATATCTAAATACTCTATGACTTTTGACCTCGTGACCTTGAAGTTTGACCCAATTTTCAAAAAAGTAAACTTTGGTGATAACTTTTGAATGACATTTAATAGGGCATTCATATTTAACACAATATGCCATAAAAATGACCTCTCCCCCACAAAGACACCGAAAGCGGGGGGGGGGGGGCACAATTATTGTTAATTTAAACAATTTAAAGTTATTTTTAATGTTTGGGGCGGCATAGCAGAGCAGCTCGGACTTCAAATCTGTAGTAGAAAACAATTATTAGTATTTTGCTTTGTTGTGCTGTTTATTTGGGGGTAGGGGTATAACAACAAACCATATTCAGTCCAAAAGAGTCTATAATTATATACTATTTGCATTTTTACATTAATGACTCGCAATAACTTTGCAATGATAAGCGTGTAAACTGGAGGTAGAAGCTCCAAGCATGGAGTCTATCTAATAATACAATCATAAACCTTAACACGATTCTTAAAAAATACATCTTATTAAGTAAAGTTAAGTTTAAAAGGTATTATAAGTAACGACTAACAAGTAATTAACAAGACTAGAAAAAGTATTTCCAAACACTTCCCGTTGTTCTGGACTTCTGTAATAATCATTAGTCAGAACCCCAGATTATTAATCTTTTTATCCGATTTATTTTTGTAAACGGTTGCACACATATATGCATAATGTCATTGTGAGTCCGGGACGTCCAAAAATAACATTTCGTTCCACATTGTTGCCCACACTGAATTTGATAAAACTTGTACTTTATAAAGACTAACTTTCTTATAATGTTTTGGGACCAATTATTAATTTTCCTTTTAAATATATTTTCTTGCAATACGCAGCATATCCGGGTACATGTTAATTCAATTTCATGTATAAATATACAAGTTGATATTCGTTGTAAAAAGTTTATATACATTCTATCTGAAGATAGCTATATGTCTTGGTCTAAACATATATTTCTTGACAGACTCAGTTTCATGCTCAGCATAGGTTAAAAACGCGTGTAGAAGTAGTAATATTGCAAGCAATCTAAACCAGAGAATCTCTATTCCCCACTTATAAGAAAAAAAGAAGAGCATGCGCGGATCAAGAGTGGGGGGGGGGGGGGGGCACTTTAAGAAGGGCGAGCGGGGCCACAGGGAGATATCGTTGCAAGTAAAGAATTTAATCTAATTGCAAAATCTCAAAAACTTCTTGAGATACCGCTCAGAAATGAAAGTTTTACACACATATAGAATATATAAATTTACGACCTTTTGACCTAAAACTAAAAAGGAATCCATTTCAGGCCATAGGGAGTTGTAGTATAAAATTTCACTGCAAACGCTCAAAGGCCTCTCAAATTTTACTTGGAAACGAACGTGTTAAAACGGACAGAATCTATATATGAACTCATACTGTTGACCCTCAACTTTTTGACCTCAAAATCAATAATAGTCTTTCTTATATAGGCTATAGGAAGTTGTTGTGTAAAATATCCTTGTAAAAGCCCAAAAGCTTTTCGAGATATCGCGCGGAGATGAAAGTGTTAAAACAGACAGAATGTATGACCTTGTCTTTTGACCTTTTAACCCATAAATCAATAGGTGAGGTCTCCTTTAAGCCATAGGAAGTTATTATGTAAAATGTCACTGCAAACGCTCAAAGACCTTTCGAAATATCGCGTAAATGAGTGTCACAAACATGCAGACAGATGGACGGAAAGACAAGTGGGACCAAATTAATTTTTCCTATTTTAGTAAAAGCGGGAGACAAAAATAGTAAATAGCACAGAAAATGAAATTTTTAAAATACGAAAATCTGTTGCGCACGTTTTTGATGTTGTGCGCCATAAAAATAAAGCTGAATTTTCAATACCTTGAACTTCCATACAAACAATTAAGTTTCTACTGCATGAAAGCTCTGGACTTCAACTCCTTTTTTAAAACCATTTTGGTACAGTTCAACAGGTATTTAATCTTTTGACAAAACACAACATACATTTGTTCAATATTTGCAATGATGGGTGAAAACATTCAAATATACATGCATATGAAACAAAAATTACAAAACTAGAAAAATGCCGCATCATCGCCATCAGCACCGAATGGATACCCCCCTTTTTCTCCCCCTGGTCCGTCATACGGCATATCTACGGAGGCATCATCACCCAACTGAAATCGAGGCGCAGGTGGCGGATGCTTGAAATTGTCATTGTCATCATCATCACCATCTTGTAAATAAAGGTCGACTCCTGAAACATTCCTATTGAACCTTTTGTCCAATACAGGCGGAGCCGCTTGTGGTCCTCGTGGGTTATTCCTCCTAAAGTCTGGGTTGGAATTCTTGCCCGGGTTTTTGTTGGACAGCCAAATATCACGTGCCGTCACATTTCCCTTATCATCGTCGTCTTCGTCTTCACAGTAACCTTCGTCGTCGAAGTTCATAGGTGTCACTGTGTTGTTATTTTTCTTTGCACGAGCTTTTAGAGCTGCTACTGTTGCAGCAGCTTTTCCCGCTCCCTTGAAAAGGTTACCCCGTGGATTTTCTCTCCCCGAATTTCCTCTTTGATCTGGGTCCCCATTGTTTTCTTGGAAATCGTTATTACTTCCTCTTCCGGGCATTCTCCTCAATGGTATACCCATTGGGCCTTTTCTTTTTCCTCCACCGAAATCATCACCATCATCCAAGTTATCATCGTCATTATCGTAGTTATTAGAGTTTCCTTTTCCATACTTTCTTCCTTTTTCATTGTCGTTATAGTCGGTGCCATCATCGACCTCTGGTCCGTCATCTCCGCCTCCGCCTTTCCCTTTGTTTTTAAATTTATTCATAGCATAGACAACTCGGACCTTTTCTCTAAAGACAGTATTTGTGTGTGTAGTGTTGTTATTCTGAGTGTCATTTCTGTCAAAGAAAATCATAAAACAGTCATAGAAACATGCTGTACAGTCGTTCAATATCCAAAATTTTCAAAAATAAGAAATATATTTTTAGTAAAACTAAATCAACCCTCTTTTAATTTTGAGAGCAATTGCATACTTTTTATCAGAACAACAGCCCTTGAGACAACAGGCGCACATGAACATCAACATCAGAAGGAACAGAGCGGCTATTGTACCAACGTAAACTGTGCACGGCATGGACTCCCAGGAAAATACAAGAAGGCCCGGTACCGCTTCATAGCAATAGTATTTAGTTACTTCCTCTAAATAGCAATATAAGACATTTTATGAACATCCTCTCATTAAAAAAATGTCTTGAAAAAAAATTATCATAAAAAAGAGTTCATAACAGAATTTTGATTTTCAAGAGAATGTAAGCCACTCTTGTACTTGCCTGGCGCTTTGGTTGTTGGACCTGAAAAAAATTATAAAACAATGAACAGTGATAAGTTTGCTGCAACACATGTTTTTTGTACTTATAAATGGCAGAAACATTATGATTCTAACAAGGCAAGCTCAATAAGCTTATCGACTCTTACCCATAGTTTTCTCGGGACATGAAGTACGAGGCCCGTCCCCTATCGCGGTGTAGGGTAAGACGCTGATGACGTACCACGTGTCGTACTCCAGACCGGTGATGGTGTGAGAAAAGGTCGTGTTAGAAACCAAAATCTCTTGTGGAAACTGACTGAGATAGGCATGGTAAACGATTTTGTAACCTACAAAAATCCAAAATCAATAGCATTTAGTGCATAAGAATGATTTTTTTATAGCATGGTTATTAGTGTTTAATGAAGACGGGTGTCCTGTTTATATACCACAGTTCTTCTCTGTAGAGAAGTGAACATTCTTTCGCCTACATGGATGAAGGCGAAAGCCTGTTCACTTCTCTACGAGAAAAATACCACAGTATATAAGAAAAGTAGTCCTGAATGAATGCGCATAGATCTTACATCAGATAAGTCAATTACTTTCAATGACTTTGGGGCATTTGATGGGAATATTGGAATTTCCATGGGTACTGATATTGCCCTATTATTAGAAGATCTAGTTTTGTATGGTTATGAAACAGATTTTTAAAAAAAATTAAATGAAATATAAGCCGTTTTTTTCACATATCGTTTTCGACTCATACATAAAAAGAAAGTATGATGTATGCACATCCCATATCTTATTCTGCTTTAGAAAAATAATCACGCGAAGTTTATGCTTGGTGCGTCGGATGACAAGAAAAGAGTTGCAAGCCTGTTCTCTTTATATGTATCAGTCGAATACGATATATTTAAAAACGGCTTACAGAGACAAAAGGGCTACACTATCGATACCAAGTAGTGCGTATTAGACTATCAAAATAGGAAAAAGGTGTGTCTACCCCAGATATAACAAGAAAAAATATCAAAAAGGGGGGTGCCAGCCAGCCGCCAAGTGTATGTGCCTTCAGCGGGGGACATCATTCAAATTTTGTGATAAACAACTTCTTCTCTGTCATCAATTTAAGGCAATATAGCATTATCACTTGTATATGGGGTTTAGGTTTCAGATGATTAGATATTCAGGAGACTTTTAAAAGCAGACTACTGACAAATGAATTGATGATACAGGTATATTATGCCAAGCAAATTCTATGGTCAATGCAATGATCTTAGTGCAAATGTATATGTACATTCTATCGTCGAATGTTGACTTACAGCTTTCAAACAAATTGTTCGGCAATTATAAACATACTAAATTTTCCAAGGATTTCTCCGTTTACCTGATCAAGAAAAGAAGCACAGAGATCTGCACTTTCCCAGCTATCAATCTGAGTTGTTTGCTTGGATTTTGAGTTTGATCAGTGTTTGTAACCTTTACATTCCCAGATGTACCTTCACAAGGCCATATCAATACAATAATGGCCATGGATAAGAGGGGGGCTTTGGCTTTTCAATTTCTCAACAAAATATCAAGAAAACTTATATTTCCATAGACCTACCCAGTAAGATTCCATTATGATGGTATCGCCCTGGCTCTGTCCACACTACAGCTATTTCTGTGTAGGATTGTCGGGTGGAATTTACTGTGGGTGGTCCGCCATCTGGCGCTGTCATTGAAAAAAGTTGATATTATTTATTTCGCCTAACACATATGTTTTAAATTGTGATAGATTGTCTATTGTTTAATACCGAGTCGGCAATATTTCAGACATGTTTCGGCAGTTTTGAATTGTATAGAATTCCCCATTTACAGTTTTTCTTAATCTGCTTTTTTCTATTTCCAAAGGTGCAATACTTTTGATTGTGATTTATACTCTTTAATTTGTTATCAATGGGTTACCAGAATGCTTTTTCGAACACTTGTAACTTAAAATAAACTCAATTGTAACTTGAAATGAACTTGACTGACCATCCTCAAGAGTTCTGCATTCTGTGGTCACATCGTTGTCGTTCCCACTGGCCGTGTAGGAGTGCATTGTTAACCTATATTCGGCGTACTTTCCTATATTGTAATACGTGTAATTTTCCACGTACACACTTCCAGTGTCTACTTGCTGAAAATCAGTACAAATATAAAGGTACTTTTATAGATCCAGAAATGACTGAAAGTACTACTCGAATGCAAAATTAAATACAAGCATTATTTAATGATCCGATTCCAGTGTAAAGTAGAAAAGAACTGCGAACGATAGTATTGTTCTCCCGCCTACCTCCAAGTCAACTTTTAAAAGTTAACATATTCGATTAATTTTTACTATTTTTATAGATAATTATATGGATTCTCATAAAACATTACTTATTTGGGAAAACAAAGAGAGATAACTCTAAAATTTTGGTAGAAATCAACGGAAAATATTTTTAAAACATCTTTCCCCCCCCCCCCCCGTGTCACAAAAAATCCTTTTTACAAGTAATTTGGAATGTTATTTCACAAATTCATACCAAAGCTTTTTGTGTGACACGGAGGGGAACATATGTTTATTGACAAAATACGATAAAAATACTTATTTTCCACCAATTTCAAAGCGATTTACATCTGAAACATTATATTTTATTGATATATTTATGTTTTATTCATTTGTCCAAAACATTAGATAAGATATAAGGAACATTTAATTATTTCCAAGACTAATTCAAAATATGGTGATGCTTGAAACTCCAATTTTAGTGGAAAATATCGTCTACCCCCCTTTTTTCAAGAGCTGGAATTTTGGATAATTTACTGTTTAACGCTGGTATTAAGACAATTATTCAATTACAATTGAACTGTTCTTTGTATTAAACAAAGATTTTATGGCCAAATTGCTATTTATATTGAATTAAATGGTTCCAAAATGTAGGCGGGAATCGAGAGTTAGCGTGCGTATTTCTTTCAATTCAACACATCTTGAAAAATTTTGATTCACATTATTCCTATCATTTTTTGTATTGGAACTTTTTTTTTGAAAAATCATATTCTTACAGGGAAGGTTTCCACTTTGACATTGTCTATTCTTTCCAGGTTAAGATGGTATCCGTTAACAGTAAACAACCCATTGGCAGGAATTGTCCAAGAAAACATTAAAGTCGTGGAATTTATAGGCGTACAAGATAGGTTTGTAGGCTCATCTGAAAATTAAGTTTTAAAAGTATTTCATTCTTTTTATGTTTAATAAATATACATGCAAGTAACTTGTAATATATTATATTTATATATATATAAACCCATCCAAAATACAAACATTAGGATTGGCCCCTCCTTCCTTTTTATTTTTCTAATTTACCAATCGTATATTTTTTTTTATAACATTGCATGATATTATAAATCGTTTTAATATAATATGTGAAAGTAATATAGGTGAATAATTCACAGCTGAATACTTACATAAAGCGCCCGTCAAAGCCAAAACTACCAAAAACACTAATACAGGAATTCTAATATTCACAAACATATTGAACAAAATTTGCGTAATGAAAAATAACGAAAATTATTGCTGGGAAAAAACTACATCGCAAATGTTACATAAAATTGTCCAAGTTAAATCGTTATGATAGACGCTGGAGTTTTAATCAACAGAATTTCCCCTACATTTGTGAAGGGGTGAAGGGTTCACTAGTCTAATTAATCCTCGGATTATAATTTAAACGCATGAAATTTTTAATATTAACTTCTCTTTAAAATGCTTGATTGAATATGAGCATGAAAATTGGCAGTCTTTTCTTTTTGAATTAAAGAAACCTATTGTTCTAAGTGCGAAACTAATGTACTTAAATTCAGACTAATGATCATTTCGTAATTACTGTCCTGGATATAACGTTCAAAGAACAGATCAATGCTCTAGATTTAACATATATCGACAGATAGGTTGTTCTTATAGGATGTAATAATTTCAAGATCTACGATATCGATATAAAGTCGTCAGTATATTTCTCGACTTTAAAATAAAATTCATATATATCTCGTTGAGACTTCATAGATATGTGAGAGAAGTTTCACTACTGAATCCAAAGTAACTAGATATTAATTGTCACGAACTTTAAATTTATGCATGTAATATGAGCTAATATTATTCACGAGACAAAGTCCGTTGATATATTCACAGTCTCCTGACTTTCGAGATCTGGAGCTTTATAATTTCTCCTTATGCCCCCGACCCCATCAGCATTTTTGCACGTCTTGTATGAAATGAGTGTTATGAGCATTCAAGATCCAGCACACCTTAAAGTTACTGTCGTGTCGCCCTTGTGGGTGACCGCACTTATTTCAAATAGTCATATTGCAGATTTTATTTGATAAAAAAGGAACACTACTAAAAACTAAACGTAAACAGTTTTATTTCAGAAGTTTTATTGAAACAAAAACTTCAGTACATGTATAGTAAAACCGTAGTTCTTTTTGCAAACAGTAAATCCCAAGTTGTGCAGCATTCGGCTAGTTCTGAACCTTAGGGAGGACACACTGTCTCATGTTCACATCAGACCACGTAGACAGCATTCCCACCCTGAGAGCAGTCGCCATATCTACTCAATTTCATTTCAAATGCAAAAAATATATACAAGTTGTGACACAAAACTCTTGATGTCTGCGTCCACCACTTCATCTGAAACCAACATTGCGTTGATAGTGAGTCACGTGACAAGGGAGGACACACTGTCTCATGCCTTATAACCATGGAGACAAGCGAGACCTTCCGCATCAACTCCTGACTCTTACTGCAATGGGTTAACGACCAAGACAGCCAACTGGTACTCAGGTGTTGGAATACCGACTTCATCAAATCAATGGCTGCAAAAGTTTGGAACCATCCACCTGGCAAAGAAGTTAATCTTTTTATTATAGGTTAGGTTGCACGCTGTCCCGGGGAAGACCCTAGAAAAAGAGTATCAAGCCATGAAAAGAAAATTAGCGTGAGGTTCACCCTGTAATAATAGGTTTCACGGACCATGTATTATTAAGCGTTAGATACACCTGAAAATGGCTCGACGGCAGATTGATAAAATGTCTGTAGGACATTAAGCGAAATGACATTTTTTAAAGGTCAAAGTTCTCTTGTCCAGTTATCGTCCTGGCTCTACAATTCAAACGTTCGGATTCACTTTCTTTTGGTTTAACTTACACAAACATAGATATATATCCATCGAGATTTACTTACTCATTACGGCGCTGAATGTAATCACGTGATCAAATGTATGGCAGAGCGCGCCTTTACAAATGACAATCCGTGGCATGGACCATTTATTTAGTTTATGCCCCCAGGGGCCATGTTACAATCATTTATCTCCATCAGCTCAGATAAGGATAAACACGTGTGGATGGCCTGCGAACGATGAATAGTCCGTTATATAAATACACGCATCCCCTTTTTTGTTTTTCATTGATTTCTTAAATACATATAGGAAATTTAAATTAGTTGTTAAATATTTTATCGTAGAAATTTTTTCTCAATATTTATGTGAATTTAAGATCAAAATAAGATAAAATCTACATCACATTCGTAAAGCCTTGCCCTAACAAGATATTTACTTTGATCTTTAATTGCTGCTTACTTTGCCATCTACACCTTAAATGTACATCATTAATAAACTCGACAGAATTCGCACAAAACGCACAAAAGGGACATTAGAGTGTGTCTCAATATTTTGATAATTTTACCGTAAGAAAATAGAAGTATCGTTCCAATTCCCGTCGCCTACTTACAAAGCATTGGATTAATTATCTAGTTCCAGAGGATAATAATACAGTCCAAGTGATGACAAAGCTAGAAATAAAAACAACTTATCTCCGTTCAACACAGCGAAATAGTAAGTACAGAGCCATCTGCCACACGACGTTGTTGGAGCATACACAACAGCGACTCGACTTGCTCGTACATAAAATCAACTGACCATGGTCCGCAGCAGAGTATATTTATAGTGGAGCCGCACCCTGGGGCAGAAAGGACCCTATCTATATATCTAACTCCTAATGTACCCTGTCTAGCATGCAGTCAGGCATGTCAACACCTTGTTACAACAATAGATCTTGTTTCAATTTGTAATTTATTATACCGGGAGAAAGTTACTACGACTGTACATTTGTATGACAACTAGGAATGTGAGATTAATAGACAAGTAGACTTAAAGTGTAGATAAGCCCATATATTTGCAACACATTATTTATAAACAAGCATTTAGACACCAAGCTTTGCTCCGGTTTGCTGTGGATTTGCAGTTTGCTTTAGTTTGCTGCTAAATTTGCAATAGATGTAATCGGGAATTCGATAATGCTTATGCGACTAATATGGCCATCAAACAACACACTTTCGGAAATATGCCTTGGATTTCCATAAATGACATTTTCAAATACGAACGATTCCAGCTCAGATTGGCCATTAGATCCTCATAATTTTGGTCAATCAATAATATTTAAAATGGAAATCGGTGCTGGTTTCATTGTCCTTAATTGGCTTAAGGTCCTGTCAATCTGTCGTCTGCGTAATGTTTATAGACTTCCTTTCGTTGTAACCTGGTACTGAGAATGACAAGGAAAAGTGACGTTGGACCACGAAGCGCAGACATAAATCGCAATTAGGTCATGTTGATCTCCTATAAATTATTACATTGGCCAATAAATACATTTGGCCAAAGAAAAAAAATATAATTTTATGATGGACAAGGAGTACATGTACATTTTATATCATGGTACCATGACATTTTCCTTGAGTACACATTTTACGAAGTGAATAGAGATATACTTCTGCACATCTATATTACTAATGGTGTATTTCCCTTCATTTGAAACAACCAGGCATCACTCCCAACATGCAATCGTGTATTAAAAAAAACTGATTGCATCGATATTTAATTAATATTCAGATATATATATATTGGCCATGGGTGCAACCGAACACTGTCGTACATTTATACTTATATGCACGTAGAAAACAAATAGAAACTTCATTTTGCCCTTAGAAAACACTTAAGTACTTTTTGATTTAATGCAATGCAAATGTTATCAAAGGTATGCATACTGTTTGACTATTAATTTTACAGGTACCAGGCAAAAGAAGAAGACAGCTATGTACAGTGTGCAATAAAATATCATTTTATGCAAACTTAAAGGTACATATGGATTGAAATTCTACTTCATAGTCTTGAAACATGAAAACTTGCCGCTTCTATACTGAGAAAGTGGAGAAGTATGAGGCCTTTAAATGTTTTCTCCCATCTAATGTTAAAATAGATTTATTGCATTAGACAAATGTTGGTATCTTCTTACAACATGACATTTAAATCGTCTAAAATTTTAAAGTTTATTTGAAAAATGAAATAAATATTTAATAAAAGATGTCAAACTAGTAACCTTCGAAATATCAGCCACAATTATATATATCTTAGGCCTGTATAATTCTGTCCATCTTTTCAATTGTTCAGATTTTTTAACGCTAGAAATACCAAATACAATTATCAAAAGTTGTCTTGTACCTAGAATATTTTATGACTGGTTTCAAACGCCTGAAGCAGAGAGCAAGGTGCGCTCGCTCGTCCGTTTCTTGTCAAGAGTTGGCATGATAAATGTCCATTGTTAGACCAGCGGTCAGAATCTACTGGACACATTCCATTATGAACCTATAAAACAATAAAAATGTGTCAAAGCTGTGTCATTAAGTAGCCTTAATGAATAAAGATTTCACATGGTGGCCACTGTTCTGTAGGTGAAAGATTTCGCTCTGCTCAATCAGATGAAAATGTTTATAATTCGAACACTACCTCTACGCGATTGTTTTTGGTCTATGGTCAAGTGTTAAGAAATTTTGGATACATCCATACATCTTTCGCCGATATGAGTTTATCTCTCTTTAAATAACATATTTTTTTGAACAATTTTAATAAAGTTGATGAAATAAACAGTTTTAGCCATTGAAGATAAATTTTATACTAGTTACGGTAAAATTTTAATCTAAAGACATACTGGCACAAATACCTATCGATATTAATAGATTTTTATGATTAGATGCTGTATCACTTCCGTGATGGAAACTCAATCCACAATAATTAAGACACAGAGTTGTGGTAATAAGATAAATTATTGTTTTTTTTAAATATTGCAAAACATTAATCATTTCATATGAACAAAAAGTCAACTAGACGCATTAGTCAAAACGGTTAGTCTCATTTTTTCAAGGTAAACTATAATTTCTGAATGTATGTCTGGATTGTATGCAAATATAACATGTAGCGGTGGTTAGAAGCTGACTGAGGATGCGTTAAATTTTTCACTTCAAAATTCTAAAACACAAAACATCGTATAATGTTGTCACTAAAGGTGTTTTTTTTTTCCTGAAATTTGCCCGTATCCTTAAAGATTGATAAAAATGTGAAATTTATTCTCTATCCATGTATATTTCTTTATGAGCTATAAGGTACGAGTAAAATTTTTCGCCTAATTCCTGACTTTCATCCCTTTTAATTAACCCCAAGGTATCCTAGAAAAAAGGTTATTGTTTGTTTGACGTATTAATGCATAAATCATATAACGACTTACAAGTCTTACATGTCAAGAGGCAGGACAATTTTTGACATTTCCTGAATTTCGGTTATGAAAACTCTTTTCTTCAAATCTTTTTTTTCTTTTAACAAGTAAAATACTTTCAAATTTATTTTCGACATGTTGGTTGAAAAAGGTTAGCTGCAGCTAGAAAAAGGTGGAACACTTCTCCTCCGGTTTTAAAGTAAAATATTTATGCAAAACTATGTGTAGAATGCATGAATAATAATAAATCATTATCATGTATTATTTGAGAGAAATATTTAAATTGGGACTAATAAGGTGTGATTTTAAATTGTAAACCGTTGCCCTGGAATGGGTACAAATATGAGACGATTATATATTGCAATCATTACTTTGACTTTAACTTTATAAACTTGTTCTGTACCTCTAATAGAAAAAGGATCCCCACTTGTAGAAGATGCATCTATATTCGGTTGACTATATTTCTTACTGTCCATCCAATATCTATGAAATAAAACACACTTTTATTACATGTATATCAAAGTACATTTGCTTTTTCTTCATATAAAAACTAACTGGTAATAAATTCACAATTGTTCCTTGGAGAAGAAATATTACAAATATGACTTTTATGCGACTTTTGCAAAAAGAGTAGTACATTGCATAATAAGACACTGCACACAGATTCAATCACGAAAGTTGGGATAAATGGGCCAATTTTCTCATTTTTGTTTTTGGCAAAGATGTCCAAGTAAGAAAAGCAAAGTTCAAGACATAATTTTCCACAATTATTTCTTGTATAATTAAATGCTACAATATAACTATATTTGGGCGCAGCAGTTTTTTTAACGTATAAAAAAAGAGGCTTGGAAATGTACATTTTGCTGCAAATAAAATAGTTCCCAAAGCTTCACTGTTAAAATACTGGTATAATATAAATCCTATCATAATTTCTATGAATACACAATCCTCATCTAAAATCGCAAATCTACAGGTGCGAATGACCATGTTATTTTCCTTTGATTGCCCAAAGTAAGGTGTCATATCTCAATCTTACCTGCAGGTTAATTTTGCGTAACTGTCCAAATTTAAATAAAATCGATGATTACACACCTATAATTGAAGGATCATCAGATTTGCAAGTAACCATGTTCTAACGTAATACCTGGCTAAGGGGCAATTCCGAGTCAGAGATGAATGGAACCAGCTCCACTAAGTCATAATTTTCAATCCTCGTATGTGAAGTTGAAGCTATTTAAGGTATGTAAATTCATTTTTAACGGACCAGTGCGTACCTAGATGAGGGCAGTAGATAATATCATCGGCTAGAAAAAGACGGGGCATCCCTTCTCGGCTGCAAACAAAGACCCACCATTGTGAAAAGTAAAGGCACATGACAACCACTTAATACAATAGCAGTTTTATATGAAATGAAACCATCTTTTTTCAGTGTGTGGTGTGTATTAAAGATATGTCATTTTAAAAAGATCTGATACATATACAAATAAACTCGGTGTAAAAGTACCCTGTGTTACACGAGATCGGGGGTTTCTGTCTGGCTTTAAAAGACGTTCACCTTACACCTGACAACAGTCAAAATATCAAAACGATGGTTGAAACAGTCTTAAATTCTTTACTATAAGAGTGATAAATAAGGTTTCCACATGCAGACTTCAGTATACTGTCGCAACGAGTTAATAAAATTCGATCAAACTGTAAATTCATTTCTTTCTTGTCTATTTTTTTTTCTCCCGACGTGCCTGCTCTTTTTTTTTTACTCTTGTCTACATTCAATACCTCTCCTATCAAATGATTGAACAGTTTTTGCAATATCAGTAATACCAATGATTTATGTGTACGCTAAACCACAATGTGTATGGCAGAGAGAGGCAATGCTTATCTCGGTTTTGTTCTTTTTATCCATAGATTTTTTTTCATCATATTTTTCCAAAGTACCTAAGTGCCTTAAGTTTAGCATTAACTTGCATTAATAATGAAAATTAAGTAAGTATATACTTATATCCGTAGATTCTATCATAAAATCTACACACGTTAACTAAGTTGATTACACTTCTACTTAAAAAGAGCACGTAATTAATGTCATCCAACTTTCGTCAGGCAAAAATGATAAGGTTTACTATTTGCATATGTTTCTATAGACTAAATCTTGGCACTGCACACTTCTCTTCACATCGCCTTGCTGCAGCGTTACAAAAAACTCATAGAAATATACAAGCTTCTGAGAAAATCAAAAGAATGCGGATTCCTAGAGAATGACATTTATCAGGCGAAATGTGTATCGCAATATGAAACGCATGTGAGTCCTAGATATTAGTTATTATCTGAAAAAATACGGAAACGTATAAAGGGGGTAATTTATGATTGTATACAAATTGATAAAATGCATGCAGCGTACTATTTTACATCTTACATTTACACTGTCCTTATAATGTATGTTTTTTTCCCTTCGTAGTCGAGAAAAAAAAATAATTCCTCGGGGGAAACTTTATCTAAGCATAAAAATTTTTTCACCCCAAAAAACTATTAAAAAGAAACAATTTATGCCACAAGAACTTGAGACCAAGTGTCGTATTAAAAGTGGGGCGATATTAAATGAAACATACCTGTCATGAATTAATTCTCGGAGATCATATTTCAAGTTTTCGCGTCCCCCCTTCTTCTTGCAGGTACAATCCGTTTCTCATCAACACACCTGTGGTTTTTTTACCTGGCCGAAAAATGTGAAAGGAGTCATGGTGATTAATTAAAACTGGACATTCGCACGAAAAATAGTTTTGTTTACTTTAACCCAGATACCAGTGAGTATGATGTATTTTACCTTCAGGCATCGAGGAATTTTGGACGTTTTACTATCCATTTTGTTGGCTGTGTACAGGCGTTTGCGAAAGTCGGTATAATACATATCAATGCATCAGCAAAATTTACAAATACTAAAAACTTTTGAAATATACCTCTTCTTCGCTTAGATCGTTTAAAACACATACATTGAAATCAACTTTTGATATAAGAGAATTCTTTTATTTCTCTCCAAAAGTGAATTAAATGATAAACAATTAATGATAAAAATCTCAAATACTAAGTAAATGTATGTAAACCCCACCAGGTTTTCAATAAGTACAAAATGTTTACCATAACAGCGTATCATAGTTCAAGTTTTGAACTAACTTTTGTACCGTCCTGTAACGGTAGGTAGTCCGGTGATAAGAAAGATGAGCATGCTATAAAAGGACGCGCTCTATATGTAAATAAATTTAATGTTTCACCGTTTATGACAATATTGGAAGTCGCCCATAGATAAAGAAACATTGAATTATAGCAAAGTCATAAATATCTTGGACAAAAAAGATATCAACTTTACCGAGCGTGTTATTGCATATGCCGCTTAATGTATGTGATATCTTTGTTTCCAGTTTTTTATCCGGACATCTTTCTCCAATAAATAAAGCCATCCTGAAAACGTCATGGGTGCTGTCACTGCTGTGTCCACTCGCGCCCTTCAGGCGCTACGAGTGGATACATTATACCTGGTGTTGTAAAACAACCATGCAGCGGACAGACAGAAGGACGGACGAAGTGTAAATTGTTTTTACTATACAGTTATTACAAAGTGATGGGTTCAATGCAAAATAGGGAACCCGGTGCCCCAATAAAATCCACTAAAAATTTAAAATGTCGAACCACGATCCCTCGAACTCGATGACTGGACCGGAAAAAAAAATTCGAGATATGCGAGGTATCGAGATATCGAAGGTAAAGTACTTTAAAAAATAATAAAGTTGGGACTTTCAAATCCATGGTTTTCGACCAACAGAATTTCAACTGGACATGTATACTTTTACGCTGAAAATTATTATGTGCACCCACCACCACAACCCCCGATACTAAAGTACTTAACAATATTGAAAGTGAATAAAAAAATTATTGCATTTGTAAAAAAAAAAAAAGCCTGGTCAAATCTTTGTGTCGCCTTTAGCCTCACAGGAAAGCTTGTTCGATTCAATAATCACGGTTGATTATGGTAGTTTGGGCTTACTTGATACTTTAAAATCAAAACAAACAAAACTTGTAGGAGTTTCCACTCATATAACTTAAAGATAAATTAAGGTACATAAATGGAGTTAAAAGTCCCAAACTTTCACAGGGTTTTGTTAATCAAACACAATAAAAAGTGAAAGGTTTACTTGTACAAACACAGACAATGGACCTTCGTATCCAACAGACCTCTCGAAAAACAGAAATTATCCTCCAAGAGTCCTCAAACCACTTGAGTTAATCAGCTAGGTCTAGTATTTTTACATATTTTACCGTAACTTTGGAATGTGGAGAGGCTGTTTAATCACTAAATGCTTTTACGGTCATTCTGAGAGACAAGCATGACGCTGCACATCCACGTGTATAATTAATTTTCATTCACCGGCACGGAATTTCAACTTAGTCAATAGTATTCCAGACAGAATTAATATTCAAGCAGTATTAGATAAATGTACATTCACAAAATAAAACATAAAATACTCTTGTCCGTATACTTTTACAAATAGCCGTACATGGCCCCACCCAACGATTAAAAAATTCTGAATGTCTGCATCGTGGATGCGTCTTTAACTAAATATTTCTTGCTCTGGTGTTTTATCAAGATTCCTGACCTCTGCCACTAAGTGATTCATAAAATAACTTGTAATTCAAATTCATTCATGAATTTAAATTGAAAATGAGTTTTTAAAATTCCATTCTGAGCTATAACGGATTAAAGAATATCAAATTCATCTGATGAAAATCTTGATGTTTAAAACCATCTCAATAATTTTTTCTAAGGTATCTAGTAGTAGTTATAACTTAAATTTTTAATACTAAATATGATTATCATTGTAATAGTATTTGACCAATTCATCACCTAGGTAGAAACACGTGCACACGAATAAACGTAAATACACACACACACCTGTCTCAGTGTCTGTTTATTTACAACTTATTGGTGCATAACGTGTAAAGCTCCACTCCAATATAAAACGGGGCAGTAATCAATTAAAACATTGGAAATTAAGAAAATGTTGAAAAATAACATAAATAAAGAATTTTCAAAATAAATCATTTTTTCATCTTCTTCCTTCAAGTCTGTATAGATAACATACTAAAAATTAAGCTTCGTTAAATTAGATATTTATTTTCACGATTTGTACAACCTTTATACTTATATAAAGTGCTTACCTGTATTGTTTACCTTTTTTACCTGAGAGGAAATCTACACGGGGGGAACCTTCTCCTCCGTGGTAGTGTCCTAAATGATAAAGATGCCATCCACTTCTTAGTCTATATAAACTCTCCTGTTTCACATTCCATTTGAAAGAAAAACACAGACGCTCATATCATATGAATGAACGCGACTGTGCAACATTTATCCGGATTAAATACATTGTCCATATCCATTAATGCAAAAATTGATACTGGGTTGTAATTTTATGGCAAATGTTATTGGATTTTCAATGCTCATCCCCTAAAATATTCAAAAAAGAAAAGAAAATCTCATTGGAAATTTCAGGTGCGATTCAGAGAAAAGCCTGAGGGTACTCGAAAGACCTATATCTCAAATGTCGTAAGCATACAAACCTAAACATTCCGGACGGTTTCTCGTGTGCATAATATAAATGCCATTAACTGCTTGACTGAGGTTGTTCTATGTCACATATAGCGTGTAATTTACCATCTAATTTACTCCAATTTAGGTCGTATCTCTCTCATTCCACTTTTCCTAAACACCAAATAATTTCGTTTACGTAGCCATCATTTGCTGTAGAGAAGGGAAAATCAAACCCAAATCATGCTTGGTGATGCGCTTCCTTTTATCAGAGAGAATGAATTCCTATTTAGTCAATGGTTTGATCCTTTGTACTAATATTATTCAAACTGATAGTAAACTTCTGTATATATCTTTGAACCGTGTTGAACCGTCTAGGATGAGCTAGGCTTAGTAGTCAAAATAATCCTTCATAATATTTGTCAACAAATCCAGAATATTTGAAGGAATATTGTGGAATTTTGTTGATCTTAACCTTGTCCTTAAAGGGGCTTTGAACTTTGTGGAAATTTTAAGTAAACCCTTTTCATATATACACGTTATATACCTAGTATACATGTATATACTATTCTTTTTTATACATTCAATTCTTTTTATTATATCTTTTTATACATAAGAATAAGAAAAACACGGTCCTTAAGAAGTATTTGCGAAGCTTTTCGATCTGTCAGCTGTTAATTCCTTTATTTCAAATTTTACTGGAAAATTTTATAAATTTTCTGTATGATAGTCGAGTAACTATTTATATGATTAGAAATTTGTGAAAATCAAAAAAATATATATTTTTTTTTATTTTACATGTTTTTATTTTGTAATGAAATTTCTAGCCATACAGGAAAAACCTACTGGAAAGAGGATCAGATAGACAGACAAGTTGCGAGACATCGTCAACTTTTTCAACAACAACAACAACGTGCTAAAAACGTAGCTATGGATGGAATGTTTAATAGAACTCTTTATATAAATTTACCATCATTCAAATTCTTAACCATCTGTGGATTATTATTATATTCTTAATAATCTTTTGTACCATCTATATTTGCCAATACGTTTTACTAGTATATATATTAACAAATATATCCGATATTTTTAATATATTCGATCAGTGCATACTATTAGTTCAAGATATATTACTGTAGTCAGCGGCGACTCACACAAATTGTTCCGACGAAAATAGTTCCATCGTTAATAAGTAGGTACAACATAATTGTTCATGATAAGAATAATGTTGTGTATGTCATACGTAAAAGAAACCAAAATTAATGTTAATTTTTCCTGCAAAGATCACTTTCCCCCCTAAATTCAAATAAAAAATGTTAATATTCCTACGCTCGCTCCCTCCTCAGCCCTTTTTTTTTTTTACATGTTTGATAACAGAGAATATCTAGGTCATTCTTCGGTTGATATTTTTTCACTGATGAATTGATTATACTATATCAACAACTGTAGTAAAATCATGTTAATTGTTCGTTAATTATCATATAGTTTCCTCTTAGAGAAAAAAAATCATTCTGTGTGTGTAGTATGTTAAATGACGGAATTTTCAATCCCTGAGCAGATTCCTGCACGTGTGTAGACAAACTACACATAGGGGGAGTACCTGTAAAATGTGTAACAAAACTCGAACTGGTCGGGGATTTCTAAAGTGACAATCGTTTAATTTTTATTAATCAGAATTTGTATTCATGTGATCTAATTAAGAAAGAAAGTTCTGTCTGCCATCGAACTTCTCTGTTCGCGGGAGTCCGTTTGACAACTCCATCGCACGTGTGTATAGACCAAGGCTAACTGGTCTTGCGGACATAGGAATGTGTACTGTTTGTTAGCATGGTTAGGAGACTGGGTGACCGTAATGCTACGGACTCACGAAATTTACACAAGTTCTATATCTAGACAGTGCAGTTTTATTTTTAAAAACGTCATTAAACACTGTTAAACATATTAAATCAAAAAGTCGAATATCTTTGGATATGGGGTAACCCATATCTATTCTTGTTATGCTTTATCCTGACCACATTCCATTCATTGATTTTATTCCGTAAATGTCAACCAGAGAAGTTAATGTGTCGCCTCTTCAACATTTTAGATATACCGGTATATAAAATCATATGTACATATGTTTATTGGACTATCAGAGATCGGGATTTACTTGCAATACATATATATTATTATTATTT